TTAGAAATTCACACTTTGGAAGAAAGTCCATCCCTTTTCGTAAGATTATGTTTGGTTTAAAAGATACATAGAGGAGGGATGAATAAATTTTTTAATTAATTAAATTGCATCTTTTACAATCGTTAAAATTTGAGGGGAGAGGTCAGTTTCACTCAAAGTCTCAAACCCATCAAATCTTAAAGGTATGTTTGGTTGGAAAACATTACAAAGTTATTTACATTTTTTCACACAATAATATAACAAGAAGAAGAGAATGTAAGTGATATTTTTAATATTTATTTTGTAATTAGTAAACTTTTCTTTTTAAATTTTTTTCATGAGAAAAAGTTTTCCTAATCGTTTCATTTATGGAATTTATTTGTTACTTTTTTTCTTAACTTTTTTTATATTAATTTTTTACTAAATATAAAAAAGTTAACTACTTAATAAAATTCTAACAAAATTTTATTACAAAATTTATCAACATTTCATGTAATATTTTTTAATTTTTGAAAAAGTACATTCTCAACTAAATAAAAACTTTCTTAATAAAGTAAATCTCTAACCAAACAGGCCTCACAAGGCTTTCATTGTTTGAAGTTGGGCTTTTGCAAACGTGGGGATAGACCCATGGGCTTGGAGAAAGCTATGTTAGCCCATTTTTTCCTCCTAAAGTCCAAATCTTGCTATGCAGTGCTTGGATATGGGATAAAATACAGATTCACGCAGATGATTCACCACCAGATCATGCAAATCGGCCCGATCACCGAACCATCTTTACACGCGCCATTTCAACACATCACACACCTCTCAACCAGCAACCGGCGCGCGCCGCCACTTCTATTATATACGCGTCGGTGGAGTGGAGGCGCATCACCTCTTAATTGAACTACTTTCTCAACAAGTTTTTCAAATTTGAGAGTAGGTTGAGAACTAGACTGAAGTTTTTATTCATGTTCGCCTTTTGTTTGTCTTGCATTAGTGTTCAGTGAGGGAGTGATGGAAAGACTTATTGCGGCTTCTTTCGCATTTGTTCTTTTAGGTTGTGTAGTCGTTGAAGCTAGAAGAGATGGAAAGTTGGTGAGTAACATGGACAAGGGAAAGGTTAAAGGGTTGGAGCACAGGCGTGCTCAAGATATTATCAATGCTGTAACTACAGATAGTGGATATGGAAGACCCGGTCATGGCGATGGTGGTGGGGGAGTAGGCAAGGGTGGTAGTGGTTTTGGTGCAGGAGGGGGCTATGGTGGTGGTGATGGCAGCTATGGCATGGGCCAAGACGGAGGTTATGGTTCAGGAGATGGCTCCGGCTATGGTGCATATGGTTCAGGTGATGGCCGGTCTGGCAATGGCGCTGGTTGTGGGGGATCTGGCTCTGGTAGTGGGTCTGGCAATGGAGCTGATCATGCTGGTGATGTTCTGCCCAAACCTGGGTTGCCATGCAGCGGTTGTGGAAGCAGGGATGGATCTGACTCCGGGTATGGCCCTGGTGGTGGTCATGGTGGAGGATCAGGAGGAAGTGGAGATGGGTATGGCTCTGGTAGTAGTGGTGGAGGATCAGGTGGCGGAGCCGAAGGTGGAAGTGGAGGAGGATATAGCCATGGGGGCTATGATTCTGAATCTTCGAAGGACAGTGTCCGCAACTAACTCCATGGTTGCACTAAGAACTATAAATTCAGCGTTGTTTATGTAGGGAATAAGGATGAGAACTGAATATTTCTGGGTTTATAACGTTGGGTTTTCCATCTTTCTTCAGTTTAATCAAATTTGGTGACTTCTAGCTGCATTCTATGATAAACTAAAGACAATTCCCCAACACACAGAAATAGCAATGCAAATATACAATCAACTAGCTCTGTTCTACATGCCACAATTTGAAACGTGTGGGTGAGGGGTACCTGGCACATCACTGTAAATACAATGGATCTATATTTGCACATACCCCTTCACGTATTTCCAACATCAAAAAGAACTGGAAAATACCGATATATAAAGTAAGCAGAAAATTAGTCGAGTAAAAGCATGCTGAAGGGTCACAACGACCACCAAGCCATCTTGAATTATTAGAAACACAGACGGGTGGGAAATGCATACATATTTACATGGATATATGCACAATGATTCCAGTTTTCTCAATCACACAACATCAAGGTTGTTTTCACTAAGGGAAAACATAAGCAGCATAATAGCTTTACCACTTGTACTTGATGATAAAAGAATAGTCCAGCTTCTGGTCAATCACACCCAGGAGAATAGCCCCTGTAGTTGGGGGGATGAAGAAGTGAAACAACGCTAGTCATTCTTTGGCCTGAAATTTTTCACATCACTTACCAGTCATATATACAATCCATTCATGTTAATTGGACAAGAAAGCACATAGTAATAATATTAGACAAAGGTGCTCAGTGTAGAAACCCATGAATCAAGGGCAGCCTAACCGTAAACCAAAGGCAACATTTTGATTCAGTAGCTCACAAACTGTTTTTGCTTTTCAGATATCAAAAACATATATTTTGACTTGTTTCTTTAGTGTGCTTTTTCAATAAATTACTTACACACCATGTCACTCAGTACTAAGAAGACTAGACTAAAAAGGAATGAAAATAAAAAACGTACCAGGTTGTCAAAGTCTGACCATCCAGACAAATGACCTCCCGCTGCTGCAGACTCCAATTCTGGATTCCTGTATGATATTAGGGGAAACAAAAATTTAGTATAACCATCACACCCGCAAATTTAAAATATTAGTAATAAAAAAACTACCTTTCTTGTGTAGATTTGGTCTCACAGTCTGGAAATGAACTTGTATCATGAGCAATAGCAGTTTGATTTCCTGCTTCTACAGGTTCCTGTTTATTCTCTCCCTGTATGAAGAGTTGCAAGAAAATAAAGGTCAATAAACATTCTCTGTTTAAAGTCATTGAGGATATTGAATATGATTAAAGCTTAAAATGCAAAAGACTCACAGTAGAGTTGTCTTCCATCCAGCCAGGAACTCTATCTGAAAGAAGTGCAACATACTGCTCCATAGCAACCTCTGGACTCATGTTTCCCAGCCCTTGCCAAGCATTCCTTGCACAATGCAAGCAGTGCCGTCCATCACTCAAACATAGCAGCTCTCAACCCTGTTATTATGACTACCAATCAAGCTATACCGTGTTATTTGGTATAGGCTGCCTAATGTGTTTTACAGACTCTTCTTCCTGAATTTCACACAATTTACCAGTACCAAATTGTGGAAGTTTTTGTAGGATTAATTTGACAATTATAGAAAGTCTAGTGATCTTTAATACTACCATGGGCTTTCGGAGTTAATCTCTTAGACAGCTAATCAGTGAAGGAATGACCTATAAGGTGCTAACAAATAGGAAAATGAAAGTAAAAACAAAATAATCAGGACAATGCATTATCTCAGCCCAGTCAAGTGATGATGAATTCTGAATTACCCCATTTACCTGTTATACATTATGACCACACATTTAAATTATACCAACAGAAGACAGAAACTACATACTTCCCACCCACTTAAACTGCTGTCTAACGTTCTCCCAAATTAAAATTTGCACCAAAGTTTTTACTTTTTAATATCTTTAACTTCTTTTTAATAGTAGAAAATTTTCAAACGTGAGCTCATCTCCCTGGTTAGTTTTTCCCTTTCTCAAATTTGGTAAGATTGTATTTTTATGCTGCCCACCATATAGATGAATTTCTCCAATGATTCACAAAAATGAAGAATGAACTTAAGGTAATAACCTCGGTTTCTTTGGTCTTTACTTTGTCCTCAACTTAAAAGTTAAATGCTCTCCATCGTCTCTATAACCATACAACTTAAGGGACATCTACAACTAAGCAATTAATTCCAATAATCCAAACAAACCAAAATCATAAAGCAACAAATGCAAAATCAAATAAATACAAATGCATAGGACAGTTTGATACCACTTGGCGCGAGCAGACATCTTCAGAGCCATAGGCTGTGTCTCTCTGCATGGCCCCTGGGTTGCAACCTTGTGGAGTCCATACATTTCCATCTTCACATCACTTTCCATACCTTCCAATTCTCCCTTACCCTCAACATACTTAACAGCAACTGCAAAAGCCTTCTCCAATTCACTCCTTTCTATATCTTCCCAATCATCATCACTCTCCGATTTCATCTCTTTTTCTTCACTACCTAATCTCTCCAATTTACTCTCTACAACACCAAACTCATCAGATTGCGCCTCCTGATCATTTTTGGTCTCGAATTCTTCACCAATTTTCTCGACCTCTCTGTTCTCTACATTCTCCTGAACAGCATCATCACACTTGACCTCAGATTCTGATTTTTCTTGCACCATTTCTCGGACCTGTTTGTTCACCTCAGATTCTGATTTTTCTGGTACCATTTCCCCAACCTCTTTGTTCTCTACCTTCCCTTCAATAAAATCATCAAACTTCACCTCGGATTCTGATTTTTCCTGGAGTTGACACGCTTCTGCTTCCATTTCGCGGCTGAGAGTAGCTGATTCTGCTGCTTTATCAGCCTTAGGCGATTCTTCTTTGGCGTCGGCAACTTCGCTAGCACTTTCTTTTTCAAGTCCGGTTCCTTTTCCTATGCCAGAGCTCTTCTTGTCAACGACATCATCAAGCTTCACCTCATATTCTGATTTTTCTGGTTGCTGAAGCGTTTCGATTTCCAATTCTGGACCGCTAGCAACCGATTCCGTGATCTCCTCAACCTGAGCCGCTGCTGCTCCAAAATCCTCGGCTCCGCTGACAATTTCCTCCACGAACTCAACCTTTCTCTCGCTTTCCAATGCCTTAACCTTCAATCTTCCTCCAAACTGCAACTCTTGCACAATAATCTCCTCATCAACACCAGTCCCCGATTTCGACTCCGATTCAACCACAGAACCACCAGACATCGCCACGGACACAAGCTTCGCTATCAGAAAAGAAAACAGAACGGCAACAATAGCTGTCAGGACAATCTCTTGAAGAAGCTCCATGATTATCCACCCAAAATCAAGATCAATCAGCAGAAGAAACAGCGCGAAGATATATATAGCAAGTTTTTCTTTTCCATGGAGAAAGGTGGAAATTCCGGAGAGAAGATAGGTAGGAGGGAAAGGGATATTTTCAGATGAGAGAAAAGCATATTCGGCTTCTGCTAAGTTTATGGGGCCTTGTGGGTCCCGCTTTGGTGGCACAATTGGTCCAGGTCACGGATGTTTTTTCGAAACGGGGCTGACGTGGCGGCACTTTGCCTCGATATTGGGTAACCGACGGACGTCGTCGTGACTTTTGATTTTCCGCACCCATTTTTCTGCTAATTTAATAGGGGGAATAGTAATTAGGATGTTGCCCTTATTTTATTTCGTGGCTATGGTTAATGCAATTACTCTATTAAGATAATAACTAAAATTTGTTAATTTTTTTATTTTAATTTAATAATTAAAAATAATTCACAAAATAACTAATATTTATTATTTATAAAAAATTACGTATCAATCTTGATTAAAGGAAATTTAGAATTCTAACTTTAAATTATTTTATTTTATTTTATTAAAATTTAATTTGAAATTTGAAATTTTATCCATACTAATATTTAAATTTAAAAATTGATTTGATTTTTAAATTTTAAATTAAAATTTCAGTTTATAAATATCTATTTAAATTTTAATTTTTTAAGAATCAAAACTAATATACACTAATTCTATTATTTATTATATTAAAATTAATTTATAAATAAATATTTTAAATTTTATAATTAACTATCTAATAAAAATTATAAAATTAATAAAATTATAATTAAAATCAATAATCTTAGTAAAATCTTTTGTAGTAATAACCTGAACCTTCTTTCATTGATTTCTGTTTCATATTTCCTCTGTAAATTCTCAAATGCATACGAAAGTGTGGGAAAATAGTTGGAAACCTGATGAGTAACTATTATTTTGAAAGTTTTAGAGAAACATTCAAGATAGCTAGTTATCATATAATATGAGGGTGCATTTTTTAAATTATTGAGAAAAAAATTAATTTAAAAATACATAAAAATTAATTTAAAAATATTTTAATCATTCAAGTAAAAAAATAAAAGTGAAGCATCTTGCACCTAATCCTTTAGATTTAGTGACATTAATCACATTGAATATATGCACTTCATTTTTTCGTGAGTTCGATCCCACCTTATGATAAATTGTTAAAAAAAAAAAGAAAAAGTGAAGCACCTTAATATCTATCAGGAATTATTTAATGTTTTCCTAGAGACAGAATGATCACTTTCTTTGGAGTGATTCAATGAATTTTTTTTATATGACCAGTGATGCAATGCACTTGCACGCATGTAAAAATTGAATGTATCATTTGCAAAATGTTAAGCATACTTAAAATTTTAGGTATATCATGACATGTTAATTTTTTATTAATTTTTTAATTTAAAACAACATATATAAAATATATATACTACTTTAATATCATGTTACAATAGCCGGTTCTCTCTTCTTTAACTTTTCTTGACTTCTTTTAAATTTTAATTATGTGCTATCCCATTCTAGTATTCTACATGGGTGCATCCTCATGCAATGATGATTATATCTCCTCGTGGAGGATGTGGGGATAGGAGATATTATTCCTTTGTTTTTCTGTGGTACTATATTGGATTGCAAGAAGATTTCTTTCATTTTAGAAATGGGAAAAGAAATATTCATCCATTTTTTTGGGCCAATGCCAATGTGAGGCCTGCTTCTCTCTCCCCAAGTTTGCAATTAGATAAGGAGGGAAAGGACAAACCAAAGATGGGAAGAGAAAAAAAAAATCTTTAAGACTTTTTTTTTTTTTGACAATTTATAATTTAGGGATTAAAAAGAAAAAATTTTCAAAGCGTTGGAGGAATTTAAAATTTTGATCAACAAACTTTAGCGTGTTCAAACTTCCAAATGAATTATTTGAATTTGAAAATTAACTTAAGATTATTGGTATTTTTCAAACTAAGGTGTGCATAAATTTGAGTTCCCAAGTCCAAACGCATAAGCAGCCTTGAGCAGCAAGGCACGTAAAAATTTATTGCCATAGTTTCTAAACCAGCAAGCTACAACCGTACAACGCAACTCTTTTTTTTTTTTGGAAGGGTGGACCATATTGAATTGGGTGGTGTCAAGGAAAGATGCATATGCCTTTAAAGTTGTGGTTGCGTCCTACATTCTTGTGTGGTAATTTGTGGTGGTTCTGGTCTCACCAACCACTACACAAAATTCAAATTCAGCTCTATCTGTTTGTTCATTTGCACAACCTAAACTCCATCAATTAGTCCATTAATCAGATTCCTTCACCTCGTCTAACTCAGCCCCTGCATTATCCCTTTCATTTTTTGTGCCTCATTGACTTGATACCAAAGTTGGCACAAAAGAATTATATGTTTAGTGCCCAACAATGAGAAAGAAATTATATATTATTACAAAAATATCGATAACATGATATCAAAATTTAATTTGAAAAAATGACATTTTAAAAAAATTTACATCTTATGTAAAAATGTTTTGTTGAGGTGATATTTGAGAGTAAAACAGTGCAAATTCTTCCTCAACATTATTATGTTGAAACAAATCATTATCTAAAAAAATTGTTGATGTAATTGATCACTCAAATTTCTATTTTCAAGAAATCAATTTAAATTTAATAATTACCATTAACACTTTTTCTTAATTTTCAAAAGTAATAATTTAATAAACTTTAACAGTAACTGTTAAATTTGAATTAGTTTCTTAAAAATAGAAATTTAGAGTAACAAATGGCATTACCCTATTTTTTAAATGGTAATTTACTTCAACATAATAATTTTAAGAAGTAATTTGCACAATCTGTCCAACATTTCAGTTGTGATGATATTTCTCAGCATAAAAAATAGAAGTTCAATCATGCTGAAATTCTTAGTTGAAGTTTTCTCTATACTCTTTGATTTCTCCATATTTTCACTCGTGCAGAAAGCCAGCTGGAATCGAACCAGAAAGCCGTGATTATCCAGGTAAAGTTCTTGGATTTGCAAGCAATTTCATTTCATCTGTTGATTTTCATTACTTCTTAAACAGATCCATGTTTCTGTGGTGGCAGTGCAGGGTGTGCATGCAGACAATCATCTGCACAACGTCAGAGCCTCGGAGATCAAGTGCAGAGAGCACACCGAGCCAAAACACCCAAAATCTGATATCCATACTTGTTTCCCCCATCTCTAAAAAATGAATGGGAGAAAGATAGTAATAGGGAAAAGGAATTTTCTATGGTAATTTTGCAGTTTCATCTCAGCTTGTGTATCATAAAATGTAGTCTTTTATGTAACAATTATGTATGACAACGTCTTTTAAATTATAATATTATACATAAGCTACGTGTAGAATTCGTGATAGGAAAGGCACCCCCCATGAATCACATTTGAATGGTCATTTTGAATCTGAAACTGATATTCCATCTACCAACTAACCACAGCTTATAAGTTGTAATAATGATGATGTTTACAAGAGCCTTTAAAAGGGATTGTCAACCGAAACCATATGTATTGAATGCTACAACAACCCAAATAAACAGCTTGAATGGTGCAAAATTCTGCCCGATAACACACTCTACCAAGTACCAAAGACAACCATTATTGTTTCCGCATTCTGCTGTTCTCGGCAGATCTGACTTGGGAGAAGTATGGATGCGCCTGAAACAAGACAAGAATAGGCAAATTTTAAAGGACTACCGGAAAACAATACAGAAAGGGAATACTATGATAGGTGATGCTCTGCATAACTGTAACAGTGTAACTGTTTTATTAATGAACTATATATTGAAGAGTTTTAAGCCTGGTCTGAAGAACAGGATAAGCAATAAAACATACCATTGCCTCTTTGGCTGTGAGCCTGTCCTGATGATCACAACAAAGAAGCTTATCAAGAAAATCAATGGCCTGCAAGACCCCAAATAAAAGTTCAAATAATCTGCAAAATTGTGTGTGAGAGTACCGCTAAGTCTAAAACTCATCAAGAAAACAGAATGAGAATGACCTTAGGAGAAACTAGGTGTTGATTATCCGAATTAATAAACCTGGACCATCGCTTCCTACTATGCCTGCAAAAGAATAAGAACGTACAGTTGAAGTGGCATGCAAGAGGAAATTGCTTCTATAAATTCCCTTTAGCCGAAAAATAAAATCATTAAAAATGACAGAGGAGATGAGGATGGCTGGGATTATCATTTTTTGTCTGTACAAGATGCTCTGTCAATAGCAATATCCAAGCTGCAAAAGTGCATCTTGAGAATCCAAAACCTTTTACAATCAATAACTACTTAATCCCAGGCCTCTTCATTATTTGGCATTAAGCAATTGAGTTTGATATACCTTCTCACAAGAGCTTT